AGATGGCAGCATTTATAAGGTTAATAGGCATGGGCGTTTTTTTGCTGAGCACAGCCTGAAACTTTCTGATTGGCTTTTAGCCAACCAGCAGTTTCTCCCAGCTGCACCACATGCCAGCCAGCAGGCAACACTCAATAACATCCTGCTTTAACACTAAATTCTCTCAGTTTGGAGGGGAATTTGTCGTCCACTCATTTTGGAATAATTTTTTAAAACTTACATACTACAAAGAAATTAAGATGAGAAGCAAAAATAAATGGTACCAAATCACCCTTGTTTTTCAAGTCTGTCACGACACCTTCAAACATATGGAATTAATTTGACAAACTTCAAAGCCCCAGCAGCTTCCATGCACCTCACCCTAACTGCTCAAGTTGCGTTCCTTCCCATGTGCCATATTGACTGCATATCCAGAGCTATAATCTTAAAGGACAATTTGTTTGCTGGTGTTGGCACATTAAAAGTCATTTGAATGAAGTGGACTTGGTATAAAGAAGAAAAATGCATCATTTTTTATTTAAATGTAAAGCATTTTCTAATATAAAATCTAATTATCCAATATAATCTAGCTAACACACTTTTGCAGCAAATACCTTGTTCATACTAAATCTGAATCTCGTAATTCAGGTGGGTGAAAGCCAAGCTCAGTCGGGAACACTCTCACCTCGGAGTCTAGGCTGACACTCCAGTGGAATGTTGGGGGAATGTTGCATTCGTCCAGGTGCCATCCTTCAGGTGACATTAAACCGAGGTCCCGTCTGCCTGTTCAGGTGGACATTAAAGATCCAATGCCACTACTCTAAAACAGAAGGTAATTTCTCCTGGTCCTGGTCAACAATCCCCCAGATAAAATTGATTATTCACGACTGTTTACTTTCTAGTTGTGCAACAGTAACAGGAATCACATAGTCACTTCAGAATAATTTTCATGAATCAAGACATATCTGTCATCACACTGAATCTTAAATTTCAGACAAGATTAACCACTTGCACACACCAAAGCCCATTGATCATTTAGTTAATTTCAGAATTAAATGGTTGGTACAGTGACACTCGCAAAAGTCCCATCTGTATAAATCATACAATTGCCTAAATCGTACATCAAATTAAAAAGTGCTAGTCATACTAATCACCACATAACTCGTATCACGCTACCGAATTTACCAGTTGTCAGATCAAAACTTTGTTTCCCATGCCTGCCTCAAACAGAACACCGCGCATGCGCTCTCTCCATACCCTCCCTCCCCTGGGGACGCAACATCAACCTCATCATGCACGACAGTGGGAGGGGGTTGGGAGGGGCTGAGAGAGGAAACAACAACAAATTATGCTTATATAGTGCCCTTCACGTCGGAAATACGCCCCAGGGCGCTGGACAATCAGGAGTTTGGGACCCCAGCTGGGAGTTGGGTCAGGAGGGGTGGAGGGCAGGTGGCCGAAGGCATGGTTGAAGAAGGTTTTTAGACGGACTTGAAGGAGGCAAGAGGGGGTGAGGCAAGGGGATTGCATGAGTTCCAGAGTGTGGGGCAGTGATGCCGAATGCTCGACCACCAATGGTGAGGCAGGAAGTGCGGGAGACCTGGAGCAGGCCAGTGTCTGCCGAGCGGAGGGAGAGGACAGGCTGACATGGGGTTTGGAGGTTGCAGGGAGCAAGACCACTGAGGGCTCTGAAGGTGAGAACAAGGGTTTTGAACTTGATTCTCTGAGGGATGGCGAGCCAGTGAAGCCAAGCCAAGCAAAGTTGGAATTGGTGTGGGAGAGGGCACAAGCTGCAGAGTTCTGAATTACTTGCAGCTTGTGGAGGGAAGAGTTGGGAAGTCCAGCAAGCAAGCAGTTGGCGCAGTCAAGCTGGGACGTGATGAAAGCGTGGATCAGGGTCTCAGCGGCTTGCGGGAAAGAAAGAACCTTACCAACCACCACCAGGCAGTGAGCCACCCCACACGCGCGGCGGATCCTGCTGCCAGATAATGCAAGAGGTTATAGAGAGAGTGATTGGGGAGGGGGGAAGAAGAAGAAACAGAGAGGGAAGAGAGAGGATATAGAAAGAGTGATGAGAGAGGGAAGAGTAGATTGAGCGAGAAAGAACATGAGAGGGGGAGACGTACAGCGAGTGAGAGACAACAGAGAGAGGGGAGATGAGGGCACAGTTTTGTGGTTCACAAACATGGCATCCGGCCCTCAGCTGCCAAAAGGTTAGACCACCCTGCGCCACGTGAAGCCATCTTTGTAAGAGTTTATATTCCAATAAAACAGTTCTGTTTTGAAACCTGTATTGTTGCGCCACTCACATTACATGTTTTCTGCACGAGCTGAAGCTCAATATAAGAGCATTAGATTCTGTACCAAAAGGTCTGGGTCATTTATTAACTGTACTCACAACACTGTATACAAACTACCCAGCACATAAGAGAACTCCAATGTTCCTTGCATTTCAAGAAACCAACACGCCTGGCAACAAAATATGTATCAGTAAATTCCAAAAGAATCAACAGGTACGATGATCTGTAAGTAATTAACTTTACAAATAGGTTGACAACTATATGGATGAAATGTTGCACTGATCTTACTTCAAACGAAAATATCTGAAAGTGCAGCCTCATTTCCAACACAAATTTCCTTGACACTTTATTGGAAATGAACCACTTGTAATCATGACCCATGCTAACCAAAAGATGCCAAATTCAATCTCTGATCCTTGCTGAGTTAACTGAAATCAGTTGAGGTGGGGGACACTGGGTATTAAATTGGCTTCAGGAATCCCAGATTGGTAAATGAATAATTCCCAATTACTATGCAGTGACCTCTACTGGGGCTTTGTTTAACATATACATAGATATGATCAACTATAACTCTGCTTCACACTTACAATACCTAGGCAAATAAGATTGACTACATGGACAGCATATTGGAGAATTCCTGACACCAACAGAACTGGACTCAACATAAGTCACTTCCATCAGTAGAAACAGGACACGGGGAGGAAATACCAAAGGAAAAGCAAGTAAATGCTGACTTAACATTTCTGGTTGAATTCTTTGTATCGTTCTACATATTCGTTTTGCATTAACAGACATCAAAAAGTTGCATCTGTGCACAATGCATTCAAAATTGCATTCGGATCATTCCTAGCATCCAGCAGGAGAGGAGGAGTCACTTGATGTAATGGAAATTTGGAAACAACAAACAGAAATGCTTAAATTCACAGTAGGTATTTATTTGATATGCTAACGTTCACCAGACTCAAGACATTATGATTGAAATAAAAATAAATATGAGCGAAACACACCAATGAATAAGTGAATGATGGAACAAGATTGCTACTTGTCTCTCTTTATTGAGCATTTCCCAATATCTCTATATTCTCATACAGCAATAAATAAGAATAAATAAAGTCAAACCTACAGCATTGTAGCCCAATTCAAATAATCATGGGAATGAATCCTACCGGGTGCTGAAGACACTGCAACAGTGATCACAATTCTAATCACCTCGAGTATGAGTTTAAATCTAATCCTAATGGCAAAATGTGTCGAGAGATCACCAAGCACAGAACTAACTAGTTCCATAACATTGAGCTCCTCCTCATCTCAGAAGCATGATGGATCCATTGACATGGCAGCACAAAAGCCCTCCACTAACTATTGTTTTTGAAAAATGGTTTGAGTGAGAGAAAATCCATTCTGGAATCCATTTCTACCCAGACAAAAGCTGTCTGACATGTTAGGAATACTCAATGCATAGTTTTAGAACCACAATAGGGTATTTAAAACCCACTCAAATTAAGGTAAATTGCATATTATGAACCAGGAGTACAGCCAAAAGCCATCAATCTAGAGCAAACAAAGAAATAACCCTCAAACCATAACTGCTAATAACAAGTCACAAGTCCATCTGTAAGGTTCACTCAGTATCACTATCTTATGCCTTGCAGTTTGTATATTGCACTATGAATAATGTCTCACAAGATTATAATATGCTGCAACCAAATTATTGTAACAGAATAGCTTGCAACAAGTCAGTGCAGTTTGAACTGTGGGAAAATATTAATTTAATAATCATTTGGCTAATGTAGATACTGAAACATTAAATTTAAGAACAATGTAATGAGGTGTAAACTGAGAACTAGGTTAAAGACCAACATATCAATAAAATTACTTCTACACCCAAAAAAGCACATTTTATAATGCTTTGTTAAAGCACATATCAATTTCAATAGTTTGCCATGTAATAATGAAAAACATCTACTTTTTTTCAATTTCAAAGTTACAACTATGATGCCGAATTAAGCATTCAGTATTTGATCAAATCTGTGAGATCAACATTATAGGTGTGCACAAATATGAACCAAACAAGTTATTTTTTATGCAATGAACAAACTGATCACAGACAAAGTATTTTCTAAACTGCATTTATTGAGTAGTTATATTGCACAAATTTCCATATTGCCATCCTTTAAGATTGTAAGGTTAAAAAAACTTAACCTTTTCAAAAATTGGAACTTCAAACACATTTAGAGTCCTCAACAGGTTATAAATTTACAAACAGTTTCGGAAAATGTAATGGCCTACATAAGAATTCAATTTAAATCTGCAAACCCTGGAATCTTACCAACCTAACATCTGCATTTTAAAATAGCTCAAGGTAATTAAAAGGCATTAGACCAAAATAAGTACATTTGCAAAAAAAACCTTTCAACCAGCTCCTTTCATCTCTCCTACCATCCCCAACCCGAAAAAATCTTTAGTAATCTTTGATAACAGTTAGCCCAAATTATTATTAAGACTAATAAAATTCAGGTTGTAACATACAAATCTATTAGATATTTTTAAAGTTGTTCATAGACAGAAAACAGATTTAAAATAAATTAAAACTCCCAGAATCTGACCGAAACATTTGTTAAAAAGTAAATTTTCATGTCTGAATAACATGAATCAATGGTTTGACTCCACCAAAAAAAATGTTGTACGTTTAAGATACGGTAAACGGAACTGTGAACTCACCAGTTCACCTCTGAAAGCAAGCCCGCTCTTTCACCTGACACTCCACATTGGCTCTTTTTTTGGTAACAATTTATTTCTTCATTGGTCAAAATCCTTAATGTCAAAATAAATACCTTTATTCTCCTACCGATTAAACTACCTTTCCTTCAATGTTGATCTTTCCTGATGGAAATAAATTCTCTGCTGACTGGTCTCTGGTAAAAAAAAATCTTGGGGGGGGGGTGGGTGTTAAGAACAGCGGGATTTGATGCTACTGGACAAAAATCCTGACAGGATGTTCCAATTCTGTTACCCCTCTACCCCACTTCAATTAAAGAATATCCTCTTTCTCTTCTATCTCAGAAGTATAATGTATCTCTTCGCTCCTCCTCGTGTGAATACCCCTATATAATTCCTGTCTTTTCTCTTTCCCTCCCCTTTTCCAGGTATAAACTCTACCAGCCCAGCCCCTACTGAGTATAACCTCTTCCCTCTCAACCCCTCCAGTCTGGGTATAACCTCCTCTCTCCCCCCACCACCACCAAGCCCGGGTATAACCTCCTCTCTCACCCCTCCCTACCAGCAGACAGGGTTAACTTCCTCTCACTCCCCCCCACCACCAGACAGGGTATAACCTCTCTCACACCCCCCCCCCCACCCCCCATCAGAAAAAGTATAACCTCCTCTCTCTCTCTCACCCCCACACCAGACAGAGTATAACCTCCTCTCTCACCCCCACACCAGACAGGGTATAACCTCCTCTCTCACCCCCACACCAGACAGGGTATAACCTCCTCTCTCACCCCCACACCAGACAGGGTTAACCTCTTTCACAACCCCCCCCCCCCCCCCATCAGAAAAAGTATAACATCCTCTCTCACCCCCACACCAGACAGGGTATAACCTCCTCTCTCCACCCCCCCACCAGACAGGGTATAACCTCCTCTCTCCACCCCCCCACCAGACAGGGTACAACCTCCCCTCTCACCCCCCCACCAGACAGGGTACAACCTCCTCTCTCACCCCCACACCAGACAGGGTACAACCTCCCCTCTCACCCCCCCACCAGACAGGGTATAACCTCCTCTCTCCACCCCCCCCCATCAAACAGGGTACAACCTCCCTCTCACCCCCCCCCCCCCCCCCCCATCAGACAGGGTATAAGCTCCCTCTCACCCCCACACCGGACAGGGTATAACCTCCTCTCTCCCCTCCCCACCACCAGACAGGCTATAACCTCCTCTCTTTCTCTCTCTCTCTGTCTGTGTCTGTCTGTCTGTCTGCCTCACGAGCACAGTCTGGGTGTAAAACGTCTCTCACCGGGGACAGCCACTCCGCTCTCCCACCGCCACGTTGCTCGGCGGGGCTTTGAGATGCGATTTCCAAGAAACACCACCGGGTCGGGGGGGGGCGGAAGGGGGGGAAGAGAGGGATAGAGATAGAGAGAGATCGGGGCTGCGTCCTCCTCCGGGGGAACAGGGAAGCGGGAGAGGACGAGGAAACAGTTTGGGGTGGGGGGGGGGGGGGAATAAACTGGTGGTGGGGATCAGGGGAAGGGAGAAAAGGGAGGGGGTGGGGGAAAAAAGGTGGGGTGGGAGAGGAGAGGGAGAACAGTTTTGAAGAAAAAAAACCTACCGCCAGCGAAGAACGGGTCCAAATTGGGCGGCAGTGGGGCAGCGGCGCTACACAGGGTTTTACTGGCCGGAGACTCTCTCTCTCTCCCTCTGGGTGTGTGAGCCGCGGTGGCGGTTGGTGCCGTGCGTGCGCGCGCCGTGTGTGTTGTGTGTGTGTCTCTGTGTCTCGAGCTCAGTCCGTTGCTCTCTCTCTCTCTCTCGCTCTCGCCGCCCGACAACCGCCACCGCCGACACAAACCAAAATGGCGACCGAGCACCGACCGCCGCTCTTAAAAGAGGCGCTCGCTCGCTCGCTCCGCTCCCTCTCACACACGCCAAGCCCCGCGCGCAACCGGTGCGCCTCCGCCAGCCACAAAGTAGTGCGGCGTTTCTCTTACTGGTTGAGAGCCGCGAGTGTGGAGGTCTGTGTGTGTGTGTGTGTGTGTGTGTGGAGGGGCGAAGGGGAGAGAAAGACACGGGGCTGACACCCCCCCCTCTCCACTCCTCCTCCTCCTCCTCTCTACACGTACCGGAGTTTAATAAAGAATTCTCTGCCAAGTTTCAAATGATAAAGTTTTAATTTTTAACACAAAAACAAGAATCACAAACGTCCCGAGTTCGACGTCGGGGATGTGTTAGCGGGTGGGCTTTTTTTTTCCCTCTCGATGAATTTTTTTTAAAAAAAAAGAAAAACAAGTGGCGGTGTGGAGAGGCAGAGGGGGAGAGAGAGAGAGAGAGAAAAGAAAGAAAGTGTTGAGCTTTTATTTTTTTTGCAGAAAGGTCTGTGGGAGGAGGAGCGCAGAGGCTGAGACTGTGTGTGTGTGTGTGTGAGTAGTCTGTCCCTCGCTGCGCGCGCACTTCGCTCCGAAAGGCGGGGGAGGCGCCCGTGTAGGGATACAGCGCGGCAGGTGCTGCGGCCGGGGACACCTCTCGCCCAGTGTGTGGAGGGGGAAGGGACGGCCGAGCAGCGCCGCAGGTCGGTCAGTCAGTCAGTCAGTCACCAATGTACTCAGGTTGGGCGGGTTCCTGTGTGGAATTGTGTGTGTGTGTGTGTGTGTGTAAAAAAAACCCACTCAGCTTTGGGCGGGTGTCTTGTTTTAAATTTAATTTAACCCGCAACACGTTTCCCCCCCCCACCCCCCACCCCACCCCCACTTTGAAGACCTTCTGTGACACAGTTTGTCAAAGCACTGAAACCTAAATGGGTCAATGTTGGTGCTGCCCTCCACACTCACTCACTCACTCACTGGGTGGGTGGGTGAGGCGTGTTATATGGGGCTTCTTCGGGGGCGAGTGCTGGACCGGGTTTGGTGGACTTTGGGCTACAGACGGATTGCAATCTCTGGCCACTGACTCAACTCTCGGCTCCTCACAGCCCAGGAAGAGGAGGGACAAAACAGCCGAGCTTGGCAAAGCCTTAATAATGTCATGGTTATCACAACAACAAAACAACAGCAACGATTAGCGGCCGCTTTCTATTTCTATTTCTCTCCCCCCACACCCCAATCCTTTCCCTTGTTTCTCAGTTACATTTCTTTTCGGGTCACATTTCTCTCTTTCCCCCTTGTTTTCCCCTCTCCCCCCCCCCCCCCCTGTTTTCCTCTTTCTTTCCCCCTTGTTTCTCTTCTCCCTTGTTTTCGTCCTCTCTCCCCTTCGTTTTCCTCTTTTCCCCTTGATTTCCTTGTTTTCCCCTTTCTTTCCCCCCTTGTTTTCATATTTTCCTCTCTCTCTATTTCCCCCTTGTTTCTCTCCCCCTTCGTTTTCCCCTCTTTCCCCCTTGTTTTCCTCTTCTCTCTCCCCTTCGTTTTCCTCTCTCTTTCCCTTGTTTTCCTCTCTTTCCCCCTTGTTTTCCTCTCTCTTTTCCCCCTTGTTTCTCTCCCCATTGTTTTCCTCTCTCTTTCCCCCTTGTTTTCCTCTCTCTTTCCCCCTTGTTTTCCTCTCTTTTCCCCCTTGTTTCTCTCCCCATTGTTTTCCTCTCTCTTTCCCCCTTGTTTTCCTCTCTCTTTCCCCCTTGTTTTCCTCTCTCTTTCCCCCTTGTTTTCCTCTCTCTTTCCCCCTTGTTTTCCTCTCTTTTCCCCCTTGTTTCTCTCCCCATTGTTTTCCTCTCTCTTTCCCCCTTGTTTTCCTCTCTCTTTCCCCCTTGTTTTCCTCTCTCTTTCCCCCTTGTTTTCCTCTCTCTTTCCCCCTTGTTTTCCTCTCTCTTTCCCCCTTGTTTTCCTCTCTTCCCCCTTGTTTTCCTCTCTCTTTTCCCCTTGTTTTCCCCTCTATTTCTCCATTGTTTCTTTCCCCCTTGTTTTCCTCTCTTTCCCCCCCGTTTTCCTTTCTCTCTTTCCCCCCTCGTTTTCCTTTTCCCTCTCTTTCCCCTTCTTGTTATTTTCTCTTTTCTCTCTTCCCCTGGTCTCCCCCTTGTTTTCTTTTCTCTCTTCACTCCCGCCCCGCCTATGTTTCCCGTGTGTGTGTGTGTGTGTTGGAAGAGAGAGGGAAGAGTCGGTTCGTAAAACCCCCTCTGGGTGTTGCTGATGTGTGTGTGTGTCTATGTGTTCTCTTAAAACGCGATAAGAGGTAAACACGATCCTGTTATTACCGCTGAAGTTTGTGTGTCTGAAAGAAAGAAAGAGAGAGAGAGAGAGAGCGAAAATAAACTTCAGGTCCGCCTGCCCGGGTTGCAGCAGCCAGAGATTGCACTGACTTGAAATAAATCACAGGGGGTGAAAAATGCTGGAAATGCACAGGGAGGGGGCAGGCAGTCAGCCAGTCGGTCTCAAAAAGATAGGGTGTGATCCTACCCACTGCCTTCAGCAGAGTGAGTCCATTTCCAGTTGCACAGACATGTACTGTGTATGTATGTGCATATATATATATGCACACGCACAGATCAGTTTGATTTCCTGCTTTCTGTTCATTTGACTTGTTTTTTTGTAAAACGTCGGCTAAGCGTCAAAAAGCCTTTTGAGTTTCACGCGCACAATAACATGTGGCCGGTGTGTGGTGTGTGTGTGTGCGTGTGTTTGGGTGGGTGGGTTGGGAGTGTACGACAAACTGTGGTCTTTGCACAGGAAAGTCATTCGAAACTCGCCGACCACCTCCCCCCAGAAACCGTGCAGCAACTTGAGGCTGCAGCTCTGGCACACAAAGGGGGGACAGTGTGGCAGTCAGTCCCAGGGCTCAAATGTCTGCGAAGTCACAGCCCTGATTCGATTAGCGAAAACAACGCTGAATTTAAGAAAAAAACCCAGGACAATGTCATCCTTTATTTACAAATTTAATTTTCTACTCCACGCACTTCCCACATGGACAGTCTGACTCGGGCTGATAAGAAAACCAAAGGCGCAATGCGAGGGATACTTACTTGCTTTGGCACTGCAGCATTCATTAGTTGCAATTACGAAAAAAAATAAGCGGACTTTAAACTGCACAAAACACGCCGCATTAAACCCATTAATGTACCCCAGCATGAGTCACTGCCTTCGGGAGAGGGCTGGTGAAAATACTGTAACAAAATGTATAATAGCCCCCTATATAGCTGTTTCTTCAACGTAGAATTTCCTTTCGAAGAACTCAAAGCACAGAGGTGTTTATCAATTACCACATATAAAATTTAATTCCATAAGTTATTAATACTGGCTATCATAAAGTAAACTAATACCTGAAATTACATTTGTACATGTACAATACTTCAGAATAAATTATCACAGTTTTACTCTAAAATAATGCTTCTCTGCAAATTTGTACCATTTTAAGGAGATGAAACAATATTACTGTACAGTACTTGTCACTGGGTATTTCCCTCTACATCAGGATTCAGATGTATTATCCTTATTCGCACATATTTTCAGCATGCATTACAATGTTTAAAATATTTATAGAAAATTTATTTTATTTTGCTAGCCTTTCTATCATAGTGTTACAAGTATTTAATATATCATCCCAATTTGAAACACTATCTTTTAGCAAAATACTCAAAATTCACTTACAAAATACAAACATACATTTTCCAGTAAATTCCGTGAACAACAACAACAACTTGCATTTATATAGTGCCCTTCACGCCAGACGGCGATTCGGAGTCTGAAGTGCGAACATGAAAGGTACGATATCAAATGCAAAGAATTTAAAATACTGTTCTCTGAGTATTGTGAGAGAATACGAGAAATGCAGAGACTTAATAAAAGATTATACTGTAAATATGTGTTGGTATTTTAAGAATGTATTGAATACACTGCTGGATACTGTTAATGCATACTTCAGTATCAACAGTAAATGGGAAATAAGCACACGGTTGCCAATGTTACAATAATCATAGCTTTGTTTTGCTAAATAGATGAACAAAATTCGATCATTTTTCCAGGTTCCACACGACAAATATTCTTACCCCCTCTCCAAAGCATGTACTCATACTGAGATTTAGTTCCACGTACATTGGCACTTCATCCGAGTACTTATTCTTGATGTTTGAGACAAGACAGTGAATGTCAGCGCGTTATTTGACCGAGAGAAGAGAATGCCAACCGAGTCTGATTGTGTGCTTACTTGACATTAACACACACTCACTTTATTGCAATGGTTATTGGATAGTGATGAGGACTGAGGCTCTTTCTGATTTTTTTCCATTCCTTGGTCCTGACAGAGTGAGACTAATTATAATGTCTTACCACTGCACTGCCTGAAATCAACTTACTGAGAGGAGATGGAACCAGGAATCTTCCAGGTTTGAGCGTTTACGTTTCATTCATTGAGTGAGTATGTTACAGTTTCAAATGGATACTGATCAATTATTCTCATCCGAAATCACAAAGGTTGCAATTTTGGTCAAATAAAATTCCGTTACAATTACCCGGTCTGTCCTTCATGGCAAAGGTAAAATTCTCAAAAAAATAATCTTAGGCAACATTCAACATTTCATTGTTGGCAGTTGTTTAGAAGGCAGCTATCCAAACTGAGGAGATCATGCTGAGCAAACATTGAAATTTTGTTCAGCAAAACCTCAAGATTGTGTTGTACAATGCAATCGACTAACAAGTATATAGAATATATTATATATAGTATATATTTTTTTAAATTGGAATTTATTTAATTTTTTCTTCCATTTTTCCTTGGCCATCATTTTGTCTACCCATGCCTGAGAAAAGGTGCTGCACACCACCTAATGAACATTAGGAAATATACAAGTGAACAAGTGACAAGACTTTGTTTGAGCATTCTAATGGTTGCATGTTGAGATGTTGAGTTGGAGAACCCAACATGAAGTAGCAAGAGCAAATCTATATCCTACATGGCACAATTTGGATTCCACCCCTGCCCCACCACCTCCAACACACACACACATATCAATTTTGTTAATAAGATTAAATAAATAAATTGGTCACTCAAACCACAACTGTTTGTGGGACACTGTTGTGTGCAATTGACTGCTACATTTCGCCCACAAAATATACAGTCAATTCACTTTATATTCTGTGAAGCGCTTTGAGCCGTCTAAAAGACGTGATAAAGCTCTATATCAAATGCAAGGATTATTATTATTATTATATGATAGATTTTGAATGATTATGATGGCTCCTTATGTGGCTAATGCTAAATCCCATTCAGGACTACACAGAATCAAGTTGTGTTAAGACTTTCCAGGATAATAATAATAATCCTTGCATTTGATATAGCGCCTTATCAAGTCTTTGAGCGCTTGGCAGAATATACTGTAAAGTGAATTGACTGTATATTTTGTAGGTGAAACCATGAAACTAAGATACCATGTTCATATAAGTGCCAAAACATAAACACATTTTCTGGCCTCCATATGATTAGAATCACAAACAACGTTCAAGCACTCCCTGTATAGAGATTATATCCTAGTTGCAATGTATAAAATTATGGAATCCTGACCAAAATGGAGCATTGTATTCCTTTTTTTGGAAGTATGTAACATAAATTACATTTTGCTTTGAGATAGTGTTTCATGGTTCATTCAATCAAATCAACACTTTAATAGTTAATTTAGCTAAACACTGGCACATTTTCTTTTTTTCCTTCAATTGCAAAGTAAAGATTAAAGTGAAATAAATTAATATTTTCTATATTTTATTTTTAGATGTATTTGGGAGACATTAATTTAAGAAATTGACTTTAATGATTACTGGGGGGGCTAATGTGACTTGACTGGGTTCCAATGGAAAGTTTGTTTTCACATGGCCTAATGGAAGAGTGCTTCAGCAATTTCAGTTCAGTACTTTGAATGAATTACTGATTAGTTAGGAAAAAAGTACAAGCCAGCAACATATCTTGGGGGTTCAGATAATACCAAAATAATTGTATAAGAAAGGCTCAAGTGTTTATACTCTATACTGTATCTATTTGCATCTAACATAAAAAAAGTTATCAATCTGCACATGTTTGAATCCACTACACAAAACAGATTTGAAAAAATAAAGCCCATTTTTACTGACAATTTTTTTTAAAAAAGTTGCAAGGGAAGTTAGATTAGCTATGAAATAAACTGGAATTTCTAAAGCTGCTTTTCTAGTATTTATTCTCGCAGTAGAACAGAGGTCAGAATATTGCCGTTTATATAAAAAAGGATTATTGATGCAAAATATTTGACCTGTTTGTCTAGTGGTGAATACCTGTGACTTAGACAAATCCGTGCAAAAAGATGAGACTTTTATTTATATTGCTAGTGTGCATAATTGGATTTTTTATTGGTGTAACCTAAAAAATTCTTTGCAACTTACCAGTATTCAATTATTGTATGTTGCTGTGGAGTCCTCCAGGATAAATGGAAATACACAATATCAATCATGTAACTGGTAGAAGGGTATAATGGCTCTTCACTATAATATTTCTTGACATTCTGTGATGTCAGGTTTAATGTGAATTGTTTTTCTCTTTCCCTCACTTATAATGAACTGTAAAGCTCTGTTTTTCACTGCTTTTTGTATGGTAAATCACATTTTTCTTTGCGATAGTGTTTCATTCAATCAAATCAACGCTTTAATTTAATAGTTAATTTAGCTAAACACTGGTACATTTTTCTATTTTTTCTTTACTTGCAAATTAAAGATTAAAGTGAAATATAAATTAATATTTTCTATATTTTATTTGTATATTTCTGTGCATGTCTCATTCCAGTAAAGTTTAATTCCTGAAGAAGTATAATAATTCATAATCATTTGGGGGTATTTCCTGGTCTGTTTGGAGTCGGATTGATCTCAGCAAGGGCAGCAGTATTGAAACTACAATTTACTTAGCATCCCTAGGCTAGGAAGGGGTAAAAATAGGTAGGTAGGTTGCCACCCGGGTGCGATCTCTTAATTCCTGCTCAATAATGTGCATGTGGGGACTTTGGGTGAGAATGAGAACAGGATCAAGCTGAGCTCTGATGCCCTTCATAGTCGGCCAGCTTGCTAATGTTTACAATCCAGGCTCACACATAAAGAATGGTTACCAACAAGGGCTACAGCCACCCTTGGGACTGTATTGGAGCAAAATACACCACTATAAGGAAAGAAGGGAGGGGTGGGGGGGTGGCAATTGGGGGGAAAACAATCTTGGTAAACTAGATATGTAATTATAATAGTTCAACTATGCTATGGGATGATTACCTAGTCAACACATTTTAAAATCCCCGAGTTTTCATTGAAATGCTTATTAGTAAAAGTGGTTCTTACAATAGATTTGTATGTCAACTTCACAAAGTATGAAGTGTACCACAAAAGGCATCATTTATATAATACACCAAGATCATATTTTTTCTAAAGAGTGCATTAATTTCAAAACACGATGAGCAGTTAGTGTTTATATTTAGGTTCCTGATACTCTCTATTGAACAATACTGCATTTTAAAAAAAGGACATTTCAATTCATAATTGAAATATCACATTTGTACATTAATTTCCCATCAACATTACAAAGCCCCCACATTGCACACAATATTTGGACATCTCCTAATGTATTTTTTAGATCCTGTATTCTTTAGCAACATTTTTTGGGCCTATATGCAATGATTAAGTTGTTTCTAAAACCAACCTGTATCTCAAGATTTTCTGTTACAACCACAGAAAAGTGAATAGTATATCTATGCGTCTTTTGTTGCTATATTTAACCATGATCCTCCCTGGCTCTTTTGTTTAAAAGATTCAAGGTGATTTTATGGACCGTCGTACAACTGAAAATCAACTTAATATTTACAAAAGGAGCAGAGGATCTTGATAAACTGTGGCTACCAATGTGTCAAAATACCAGTCAAACCTTTTAGTTTAATTTAGAAAGAATACGTGTATTATTTGTATAAAATTATTTGTTAGAGATACAACATAAAATCTAGATTCGCACCAAAGAACTGTCTAAAATATTTAAGGAATCTTGCTAAATTCTATCATTGCAATTGTTGAAAGTCATAATATTAATGGAATACTTTGTTCCGTATTAAAAATATATTTAACCTAATATAAGAATTAATCAAATAATTCACATGCATACAGATAGATTCTGTGTGCACCGTATTCATCCGGCATTGCTAGGCACACTATATACACATGCACACAACAGCGTATGTATGTCACATTCGCATATGTGTGTACATACACATTAAAATGATACTGAATGATTACAAGTGTCTGTACACAATGAATGAAAAGTTCTTCTACAGATTGCACAACTATCACAATAGCTTCTGTTTATTGTACTAGAAGCAAGCTGAGTTAATGTGGACAGATGTTTTTATATACTTAAGTTATTTGAAAAACTGCCACAGACATTCTAATTTGGTACGTAAAATTATTCCTGGAAAGCTAAACATAGTTGTATCATAATAATAAAAACTCCTTCAAGACATTCTTTCTATTCAATCTTACTTCTATGAAGTTAACCACCAACGTTCTTCTATTATTTTGTATTATTGCTTTCTGTACATGAATGTTTATGAAATTAGTACTGATTTTGTGGCCTTTATACCAAAATTATTAGCGAAGCGTAGAAGGTCCTTTTTAACTCTTTCGACCCTGCAGAAGCAATTTCACATCAAAATAATAACATTGAGGATGGAGGGGAAAAAAATAAAATGTTTGATTTTAGTCTATTAATAAACTAGTTTGAAGTAAAACATATTGCGCGCTTCTATAATTCAAATTTACAATGTGAAGTATTAGAAATATAGTCACTGTTTTGAATGCGTAAAACACTACCATCTTTACACAAAGAAGATGACTGCAGCAGTCGACCAACGCCTTCATTCATGGAAACAAGGAAAGCTTTGGAGAAATGAGCCCAAGTATAAAATATTAGGAAATTACTCACGGGCTTGAACATGTAGATTAGAAAGTCGGACACATCATATTTGAAAAAGTAGTGAAAATAGCGTGTCGTGTGAGTTGACGAAACAAAACAAAAAAAGGTAGTGCTCTTTGACTTATTAATAGAGGAAAGTGGGCATGTAGCACACACTATTGTCTTTAAAAAAAGGTTTCCTTTTCTGGAATGTCACAGTACATAAAACCAAAATGCTGCTATTTTGAAGTTGTTAATGTCTGTCTCTCTCATTTCAAAACGGGTCGAGGCTTTAATCCTTGAAAAGATTGAAGACGTTGCAGTTACAAGAAAGACTAGATTCTCAAAGGATTCTGGGACTGCGGATGTGGACTGCGACAAAATGTTTCAATAATAAGAACAAATATTTAAAATCGCAAAAAACTTCAAAACAAAGCAACAGCAGAATCGTTCGCGGTCCAATATCAATCGCACATTTAATTATTTTCTGTACAAAATGTATCCTTTGTATGCGTTTCCCAGTTAATCCAAATTTAAAGCTCACTTACACATCCAGAGCACGCAGATGCATGGAATCGATAATTTTTGATCTTCTGGTTAGCAGACGACATGGTGAGCTATTGCGGTGACTGCAGGCAGCAGACATGTTCTTGTCAATCACAAAATGTATTTTGAACACCCGAGATGGCCAGCATTTTCTCAAATGAAGGAAAATAGCACTAAAATCTTTTAACTTAAAAATCCCCGACAATGAAAATGTACGAATCATTCATTGATTCAAATTATAACACTTTCATACAGAGAGAACGGATGATCTGAATATAATCACATCTCGCTGGGTCTGTGGCTTCTATTTAGAGAAATTACACAGAGGGCAAGTTCTTAAGAACATCCCTGCTGTGCAGAGTGAAAACCATGAACAAACCAAAGACAGAATTCATCTGTGTATATTATCGACAATGAAAACCTAGCTTCGTATGCCTTTTTTCAATACATTGTGAAAACCGAGCTATTCTTTTTTCCCCTCCTCCTAAACCCTCTCCAACCCAACTCTGCGGAT